TCCTCCTGTGCTTGATCGACCTGCCGTGGTGCCTCCATCGCAGCAGCACCCCCCGACCCCAACCGCGAACGAGCCGAGCCGTCGAGCCCGGGAAGCGGGCTGATGCTGCGGCTCTACATGAGCGGCCGGGTATACTGGAGGGGCGACGGCTGGAGCCGTGTACGCAGGTGTGAACGGTGGATAACCAACCGGGGGTGTGTAGTACATCGGTTGGCCTGGCCAATACCCGTACGGTTGAGGTGGGACCGGGTATGGATACTGACCGGGATACATCATCGATTGTGGATATTGCTGACCGGGTGTTGGGTAACCCGGTTGAATGTAGTTCACCGGCTGTTGGGCGGCCGGGTATGTGTTAGACGGATGCGGTGGTGAGAGATTGAGATTCAGATCCACCGTCTGACCTTGTTGTTGGGTAGCATGGTGTTCAGATGAGCTCGCTGCATCCGCCTGGTCGTCGGCGAAGTTGTTGTAAGCCCACGGATACATGATTGCAAAGAGACCGGGTGCTCGTCAAGACGTTGCTTTCTCGCACGGGTCCCCACAGACGGCGCCAAAATGATACTGCTAATTCTACGTAAGCAATATTAAATAAACCCGAGACCAATTAAAGCAAGTAAATATCTTTATTGATCACGGTAAAGGCCCTATGTGCAATCTACTTGGTTGTTCTGAGTGCCGACTGACTGCGGTCGGGATTCTCTAGTAACAACCTATCGATCGTCCAAAAGTCCCCTACACTGTAGCTACTGTGGGTATTTATAGCCGCTGTGCCGGGGACAAGAATCCGGTCGTTCGGCATGTTCTCCACGTAGCCACCACGTGTCATCCTCCCGGGTGCCCTGTCTGTCGTCGTAAAGAGCTGCCACGTGTCCTTTGTCAGCTCTCTCGCCAAAGGGCTACTACTCGGTGGTCGACACTACTGCTCGGGCAACTCCCGGTCAGACCCCGACCGGGTTCTTCACATGAAGCCCGACCTGTTACCTGCAAAAACAAAGAGAGAAAAACAAAGGCAAGTTGGTCGGGGTAAAGCTTATGTCGGTCGGGATATTCCCTACCAACATGTTACTTGCACCAAAGTTCGAGTTATTTACAAAAATACCACCGCATATTTTTTTAAAAAAATAAATAAATATGATCCCCCCCACATATACCGTGAGGTCTAATTTATATATATTTCAGAATATTTTTTTTAATTATATAATTTAGTTCAATGGTCAATTTGACCCTTATTTCAATTTTAATTATATTTTGGAATTAATAGCCCCCGACGAGAATTGAACTCGTGACCTTTCGCTTACGAAGCGAACGCACTACCACTATGCTACAGAGGCTATCGCTCATTTTGACACTCTCATTCTTAAAATCCGTGAATAATCCACAGATGTGGATGCTCTTAGAAAAGTACAAGTGACACATTTCCATCTCGGAGCCCGCTATGCATTAAAATACTAACTCTGTGCGAATAAATAATCCACAGATATGGATACTATATGCTACAAAGGCTGTCGCTCATTTTGACACTCTCATTTTTAAAATCCGTGAATAATCCACATAAAGTACAAGTGACACATTTCCGTGGATGCTATATGCTATGGCTCGTAGTTAGTTAATTTGTGCGAATAATCCACAGATGTGGATGCTATATGCTAAGTCACTGCTTATTTTTCTTTTTCTTTTTCTAATAAAATTAAAATATGTAATGCTGATTTTACTTTTCTTTTGATGGTAAGAGAAACAAGTAACCACTTTTCATGAGTGACGGGGTGTGCAGTGAGTAAACAACACTCCTAAAATATCACAACCAATGAGGTGACAAGTTTTAATTTATTTTTTTTTAGAAAAATGAAGTTGAGTTGAGGTCCCATGGCGGAGAGGTTATGAATATCATGATTCTGGAGCCACTGCACGTGGCCACATTCAACCAAAGTTGTGTTTGACATTTGATTTGCAGGGATATATTAGTTCCACCTATTCTCGCATCATCTCACGTAAAACCATCCCAAAACTGCAAACATCAATGTTTTAGATGCCCTGGAACACTCACAATCGGTCAAGCTTCGTTAGTTGTTGGACATTATATTGAACATGGGAAAACAAACCTTACATTTTATTCAGCAGCAGTGCGTAATTTTTAGTCTTAATCCATAATATATCGACATTTTTATATTCAATCATATCTTTTTAATTTAATCGCAAAAATCTAAGGTTGCAATATATGATCAAAATATAAGGATAAGTCTAGATGTTAGCTAGGGGACACCTTTAAGACTTTGTTTGGTATAGTTTATAGTTTATTTTAAAGTATAAATAATCTATAAGTTTTGTTTGGTAAAACATGAGGAGTTTAAAATGATAGTTTATATTTTAAAACGCTACTTGGAAAAACTCTTGCATTTTAAACTTTTATCTTATTTTTTCTGTATTAATTTATAAAAATGACATCATCTACCATTTATTAATCAAAATCTTAATATCTTAGTTTGTCCTTTTATGTGTCTTTTTTTAAAAAACATTTATCAGCTAATTAAACAATTAATTTTGTAATCCCCGTTTACTACACCAACTGGTCCAGTTAAGGGGCAAAGTACTACCATATTGATTTTTTCATATAAGAGGGGGTTTTGAACTCCTGACATTTCTTAAGAGATGAGAGTGCACGACTACTCACACCAACCATGCTACTTATACTATGGTTTGAGATTGAAATTGAAATTAGATAACCTAAATTCTAAAATAATAACTTTTAACAAAAAATTATTCATGTTGTTATAAATATAATTAAGTGTGGACATTATGAGTTGATTATATAACAGTCATAACATTATTATTGACATTATTACTTATGTTACATTTGTATATTATATCTAAAAACATAATAAGCCTCAATTAAGGTTATATCCTTGATTTATGTCCCTCTTTTTGTATGTAAATAAATGTGTACATTTTACTTTAAATGTTGTACATTTCAATGTTATTAGACAAAACTACCCTTACACCGTTATAACACCGTTAGTTTTTAATTCTAACATTGATAACACATCATTATTACCATACACCTATATCTATCATATCTTTTTCCTATTTTTTAATTATCATTTATTTAAAATCATTATATATTAATTTAATACTTAATTATATTTTAATTAAATTTCTATGAATGATAAATTATATATGTGTGTGTACAAAATACATATATTAGTTGTGTATATATAATTTAAATATAATTTTTAATTATTTGTATTTATCAATGTTTTAATATTGGACATGAATTTTCGCGCATCGCGGGTACAAAATGCTAGTATATATATATATATATATATATGTCGTATCATTTGTATAAGGGATAGATGTTGGAATAAAAATCTCTACAATTATACTTTGTCTCTATTACTTTGTCCATTTCATTTCCGAGCACTTTGTCTCTTTCGTTGGTTATACTATAATTCATTTTACCGGAGAATGGTATAAGCTAAAACGAAACAATTACAACACGTAGACATTTTACATTCTTTTTGTTGAAATGTGTAGCGGAAAAATTAGAAAGAAAGTAATTAAATGTAACATTTTAATCTTAATTTAACCTAAATAGGTTCCCGCCATTAGAAATTGTGGGACATATTTCATTCGAAACCTGAAGGGACCCAAATATTCCGGATCCATGAAAGTTGATGATGAAAAGCAGGATCACGTGGACTATCTGTCTTGGTCTTTCCGTACACCTCGTATTGGGACATCTGCTGATGCGTTGCCCTCCTTATATTGTAATTACAATTCTACCCATAATAATGTAATACTCCGTAGATTCACTCTGTTGTACCACCGTCTCTTCCCTTTTCTAGTCGTCTTGCTATCGAGTCGTTGTCCATTTTGTAATGAAAAATGATATATGTACTCTCATTAATTATACAATCGTTATGCCATGGAATCGTGTTCACCATTCATGATCATGGTGAACACGGTCTCAACGGTATTAATATACCGTTATCTTTTTTATTTTTTCTTTTTCCTTAATTAATCGCGTGACTTTTTTTCTTTATTTTAACATTTCGCGATTTCACTTTAATTTGGGGTGAGCAATGATTTCAGACATTCATAAATTATGAATCCATGCCTGCACATTCACTTTGGAAACATGCCTACACATTCCCGTCCGAAACCATGGCTGCTCTTCTGTAGCGCAAGCTTCTTCAACATTCATAAATTATGAATTTTCTGTTATGAGATTATGAATTTTCTGTTATGAGATTATGAATTTACAGTAAATTCATAATCTCATAACAGAAAATTCATAATTTAATAAATATTTTTCTTTTATGCGATTATGAATTTTTTGTTATGAGATTATGAATTTACAGTACATTCATAATCTCATAACAGAAAATTCATAATCTGACCAAACGAGCGCCATTAACACCACATTAGCGATTTTTTTTTTTTAAACTTAAAAAGGGCGCCGTTTGGCCTCGTGTTCACCATTTATGGTGAACACGTTTCCAAGGCATAATTTGTCTGAATTATAAGTCTCGTTATAGGTATAAATTTTATTGAATAAATAAAAGTAAATAAATAAAATAGTGGCTCATTTTGTTATTTAAATTAATCAAAAGATAACACCTCAACAGAGAGTAAAAAATGAAGTAAAAAGTAAGAGTAGTATCACTCTTTTGTAATTGTGTATGTTTGTGCACATAGTTTGTTTTCTGATGTAAAACAATTCGAAAGTATATATATATTAATTAGAAAAAAGGTTCAAATTAACTACCTATTTATACAAAAAAAAAAAAGTACAATTTGGTCATCCAATTAAAAAAAAGTATAATTAAGTCATTAAACTGTCTATAATTATACAATTTTGACATATTCATTCTTCCAATTTTTCACCTCTATGACCAGTTGAGCTGTCTATATGAATAATTTTGACCTATTCATCATATCATGGCTGACGTGATGGTCATCTTATTAACAAAATTATTATTTTTAAATTTATTTTAATAATTTTAAATAAACAAACCAATCCCTCCCCATCTTCGTCTCCGGCCACATGTGGTGTGTGAGTTCTCACCAGTCACCATGTCATACAACCTTGCCAACCCGAAGCCGCCTAATCTGGAATTCATATCTCCATCGATTAAGACGTTGCTGGACTTGATGTCGCGGTGAAACACAACATGTTCCCATTCTTCGTGCAGGTAAAACAGTCCAACAGCAACGCCATTGACAATGTTAAACCTCTGTTTGCATGTCGATCAGTACTACGATGTTGATTTTTGGTCTATAGAGTAAAGAGTCCAGACTTCTATTTGGGACATAATCATATACTAGGAGAAAACCATTCTTGTTCTTGCAAGTACACAACATATTCATCAAATTATTGCAAGTTATGAACTCCACTGAATAGCCTACACAAGAGAGTGCAAAGTGCAACGAGCACCCTTTTCCATACTTTAGGGTGAAACATTGTCCCGATGTTCAAGGAAAACAAGTATGGGGAAAGGGCGGGGTGGGTAAAATATGGTTTTCCTTTTCCACACTTTAAAAGTGTGTACCTGGAGCACAAGCAATGCAAAGCATGAAATGGCAAAAATAAGTAAAGAAAGAAAAAGGAATATAAGGCAAGAGACTCCCTCAAATGTATAAGATAGAAGAAGGGCAGTCCAAACGATCAAATCCTATCCCTTTGCCAATAAACTCAACATAATAACTAGGGCATTAGTTACAAAAGCTATGATGGAAGTAAAATAAAGAGCAAATATCAATTTTGGTCCCACGAGTATTAGCAAAATGATAGTTTTTGGGTCCACATATTTAATTCCTACTAATTTTCATCCATGACTATTGTTTTAGTACCAATTGTCATCCACGACTAGGGGTGTAAACGAGCCGAGCCGAGCTTGAACTTGGGTAGGCTTGAGCTCGAGCTCGTTAATAGAAACTCGGCTCGAGCTCGAGCTCGAGCTCGTTAATAGAAACTCGGCTCGAGCTCGAGCTCGAGTTCGATCGAGCTCAAGATCAACTGATGCTCATGCTCGAGCTCGAGCTCGGCAATTTTCGAGCTGCTCGAGCTCGAACTCTATCTTAAACTTGAGTTCGAGCTTGATCTTGAACTTTTTAATTGTTATTTTTATATATTATAATTATAATTATATTATGTTATAATATATATAATAAATATTATATATTAGACGGCTCGCGAGTGGCTCAACGAGCCACGAGCCTAGAATATCGAGGCTCGGCTCGAACTCGATTATCAAACGAACTGCTCGAGCTCGATTTTGACCGAGCTCGAGCCGAGCTTTGACCGAGCCGCTCACGAGGGGCTCGCGAGCGGCTCAGCTCATTTACACCCCTATTCACGACTATTATTTTAGTGTTAAAATTAATCACGTTGGTCACCCTTCCATTTAAGACATGCCAAAATCTAAAAAAATTTAATAGTATTTTCACCCTTTTTCAACTTAAGATCCCAATTTGAGCATTAATAAAGGGATTTAAACCCTAAGATCGATCCCAATTCGGTTCTCCTCCTCATCCTAGCTTAATTTGAGGAGAACATCGAATTGTGATCGATGTTAGCGCTTAAATCCATTTATTCATGCTCAAATTAAATTGTGGTTTTAATTTGAAAATGACAAAATACCCTTAATAATTTCATATTTTGGCATGTCTTAAACGAAGGGGTGACCGGCATGATGAATTTTGGCACTAAAACAATAGTCGTGGATGAAAATTGGTACTAAAACAATAATCGTGAATGAAAATTGGTAGGAATTAAACATGTGGACCAAAACTATCATTTTGCTAATACTCGTATGACCAAAATTGGTTATTTGCTCTAAAATAAAGCATACATCATAAGATAAAGGAGAAACTAGACTAGAGTAATAAACTACATAATGAAAAAGTCTAAGATAAACAAATGAGCATAAAATGCAAGGAAAATAAAAGTGTCAAAGCATTAACCCAATAAGTACACAACCAAGTATTAAGTCCAAACAAATCCAACAATCAACTCAAAGGAATAGTACGATCATGGGTGGTCCTGTGATGGTGGTGGTGGTTGATACATCCTTAAGAAGTCTTGGCGAAAACCCTCAATCATCTAGATCACTGACGTGTGTACCGCATGCCCTCCAGGTGCAGCTGGTAGTGAAATGCCCGCATCTCCTCCCTGCTATGCAATGCCGCTTACTGGGAGGAACCTAGGGGGAAAACAAGCATATAGGGTTCCTCCTTTGCCTCCTCTGCGTCTGGTGGCACAATCAACTACAGCTAGAAGCATGTGAGATCTTCAAGGACTATCGGTTACATCTCGGCCACCATCCACTCTCCTGCTAACTTGGTGGACAACTTGTAGCCCCTACAAAGCTGGGCGAGAAAGGGACCTACACAAATAACCTCAACATTCACCTATGCTTGGTTATACAACAACCGGTTGCAAAGGTATCCCATGTGAATGGGGTTACTAGTTACTATACTCCACAAGCAAAGGAGATCAAGGCCATATACCATGTTTGCATTAGACTTCCTTCCGATGATAGACATGACAATCATCCTTTGAAGCAAGTGTAGCTCTGGCTAGACAATCTCATTGGAGTGTGAACTCCTTGCCTTCCATGGCACCCCAAGTCTAGCGATTCGAGACTAGAATGTTCTCCGTGCATCCTCATCAGGGAAGTTTGTCAACAACTCTTTGTAGTTGGTCGCCTTCATCTCTCAACTGGTGTAGAAGCCCAGCTTGTGCCTCAACTAATCAACAAAAATACGATATGCTTTGTTGAAGATGCAGTAGTGAATGGAAGGCTTGCCAAGCTCCTTTGGGTTCTTCTTGCATTCCAATGATGCAATAATCCCGTATAGAACATGCTCGTATATAGCATCCCGCCATCCGAATAAGATACTACACTTGGGTTGAGAAATAAGTCTCTCAACCTCCTCCCTTCATCCAAAATAATTAAGAAAAGGTGGTTCAATGTAAAGCCTCCTCTCACCGCCTTAGTCTTGAAGTGTTGGAACCGAAGGGCATGTATGATAGACAACTTCAACTTGCGCCCTTGCTCATGGAACTCTTAGTGAGTGAGGGTGTGAACCGTAGTGTCCTTTGGTTATTCTTCCTTCTCTTCATGCATAAAATCATCCCCCTCAAGGTATAAGTCTGCATACCAATCCACTATCCTTTCATTGTCCAAAGCCTTTCTCGCCCGGCTAGATTCTCATTGCTTCCCACGGTGACGTTTATGAGATTTATCAACATTCTTAGGTGCACCATTATCTATACATAATCAAAACAAATGTTAAATCAGGGATCCACCATAATCAACCAAGCACAAAACCCCCTCAACTATGTTCAACAATCACAATCAATAATTTAAACTACATATTCTCACTAAACGAACAATCAACCATCTCTTCCATGCCTCACTCAATGACTCCTTAGCTTAGGCCTTTGTTAGAAGTTTTGGAGTTGCTTCCTTAGCTTGACAATCTATGTTAAAGGAACATACTCATAAAGGAACTCATGCTTAAATTGTTCTCATGTGTGAAAATGGTGGTGAGGGAACGAATCAAGCCACTTAGTTGTTGTTCCCTCCAATGAAAGTGGGAACAATCTAAGTTTTTGAGCATTATGTGCAATGGGGTCCTCGGATGGTAGACCATGAAATTGATAGGATGACACCAATTCATTTGCCTCCGGCTTCATATCAAAATTGGTTGCTTTAGTCCTTGGGGGCCTAAGCCTATTATAAACTTCCTATGTTGGCATCATGTAGTCCATGATTGACCTCCCTCTTGGTTGGGGTTTGGGAATTGGTTGGCCTCTCGATTGATAGTTTGGAGGTGGTGGTTGGTATTGGGGTGGAGTATGGTGATAGAGTTGTTGGGAAGGATCATATGGGGGGGGGGGGGTATGAATGATTGGTGGATATGTGTTTCTATTGGTGAGAAGTGGGGTTGTTGGTTGAAAGTTGGAGGTTGATGGTTCATGGACAATAATAGGAATTCTTGGTTCTTCGGTTTTCGTGGTCGGTGATGCTTGGGCATTCTTTCTTGTCACCCTCAATGGTTGCTACACAAGGGAAACCAAGTTCTTGATTCTCTTTGCTCCTTCGTTGCAAACAAAACAAGAAAAGAACCCGATTATACAATGAATTTTAACGAATGCAGAAGTAAAACTAAACATAAAAAAGAAATGGGTATGTTCTCCTAGAAGATATTTCTCTTATGTTGAGACAAAAGCAAAAGCTCAAACACCGCTACTAGTCCCCGAGACCGGTGCCATTTGATGAAGTAGTTTTTATGGGTGAATGATTTGAGAGAGGGTATCTTCACATCAGATATCGTTTTCAAGGATTGGCATAGGAATTAAGCTATTTGCCTCTCAAACACAAGGTAATGACCCTTCAATTGGAAATCTACCCCCATGCAAGGGGTTGGATAATGCAAGAATAAAAATAACTAACAATGGAATGAAATAACAATAAAGATAAAAATGATGGGGAATAGGAACTTGGACTAGGACGGGAAAATGCGGTCAAATCGGGAACAAGGAAAAGAGTCAATTGATTGGATAATGGATGTCATATTAACAAGGAGGAAGCATTTCTAAATGCCATTCCACACTTTCAGAGAACTTAAGGACATTCTCATGCCTCATAACTCATAAGTGGCTAAGGAGCATTTCATCGAATACTTGGCGTCTTAGACATCGCATACTCCCCTTTTCTCAAAGGTAAAGCATGGAAATCAACCCCTCTAGATTAGGTTGTCACTTCCTAATTGAGACTCAATCATTTTGATAACACCATCCAAATCTAGTCTCATCTTCCCTACTCAACCAATTCAAGATCACATCTCAAAAAACTTAATCTACATTCATATCACCCTCCTAAGAGATCTACTCACACATAATGGAAAGGAAAATAGCAAGGAATTCAATAACAAAAGCACAATCCATAACTATCACAATAAAGAGATCAAATTAATCAAAGCACAAAGTAAATTGTAAGAAATGAAAATGAATATGAACTTATCTATATTGAAATTAGAATTCTTCAATCCTTGATCCAAAGTTGCAATTGAAAGTAAATCTAAGTAGTGAATGGAAATTGAAATTGGAATTGAAATTAGAAAGGAATTGTATATAAAAGTGCTCGAAAATGTAAAGGGAAGAAATGTAATCTAAAGTAGTCTAAGGAGAAAACCTAATAAACGAAAAGCTCCCCTCTAAAATTCCAACTTCGTCTTTTTATATTTTTCGGAATGTCCATCCTTACGAGTGTAACGTGCCTCGTAACGACAAGAAGGCCTCGCGGATGCCCTGCATTATGAGTGGACTACGAGCGTAATGTGGGCGTGTAATAGCAAACTTGACTCTCAAATGCATCGAACTACGAGGTGCATTACAAGCGTAATATCGACTCGTAATAGTAGAATCAGCATGCATATAGCTTCCATTACGCTTAGCGTTATGAGCAGAAAAACGACTCGTAATAATAGATATGTCCTTCGGAATTCGGATACTCCTGTTACGCACTCTGTTACGAGTGTAACTCAGCTCGTAATAGTAGGAATTTGACTTCCATTATATTTTGGCTCCAAATTATCCAATTTACCCTTGAATTGACCCTAATTTCCTTTTTAAAAAAAAAGTGCAATATTAGTCCTTTAATCACAATTCAATCACATAATTGAGCATTCTAAACACAAATCAAGCACATTTAATCCCAAATCAGCCCATAAACGCTACCTGAACGTAGTAATATTTGGCACTTGATGGAATAATATAATATGCATGCCATATTATTATTATTATTATTATTATTATTATTATTATTATTATTATTATTATTATTATTGTTGTTGTTGTTGTTGTTGTTGTTATTATTATTATTATTATTATTTTATAATAATAATAATAATAATAATAATAATAATAATAATAATAATAATAATAATAATATATTAGTCAAAAAGAAGAGGTCATCCTGACAAGAAAATAGGAAAGACTACGGGAAGTTACAACTGCACAAATAGCATTATATAAAGGCTTCGGGCTACATACGAAGGGATTCACGCCGATCTCAAATATTAAACTTCCCTTCTACATATACTCTTCTTTCTTCTTCCATATATTTCATGGCCAGGGCCTTACCTATGTACATGTACTACACCTACAACTTAGTGGATTTCGGCTTGGCTTAGCCCAAAAAGGCTCGTGGTTTTCACCATATTGGTTTCCACGTTAAATATCGTGCGTTCTACCTATTTATTTATTAACTTATGTATTGATTCCCTGCAATCATCTTTTCACCACTTTACATTATTCATATATTTCTCTAGGGAGATTATTGATCCGTATAAATACATACCCTAGGTCGTACCTTGGATCAATTTTCTCCATCAATAGTGCTCTTGTTGAGAGCGGCTGTACAAGCTTAAGCGTGCTCTCTCTCCTATCTATCCCTACCTGATTAAACACTCAAGTTTAATTTGTTCTCCATTCATAAATCTCACAACAAGATATATTATTCATCTTTACATCGTTCAATCTTTTTTTTTTTTTTTTTTTGTAAGCAAACCTTATTTCAATTACTCCATCCAGTACATTTATCTCCAATATCCATGCAAATAATACAAGTTTCTCAAGACACATTCTATCCTTTCATATCTCTCTCTAGTTTTGGGAAATTAAAATCTTGAATCTTGGAGAAAATGAAGAGCAGTGTGAATGCAGCAGCAGCCAAAGTTCAGCATGTGAACAAAGCTTCGTCGGACAAGCCTCTAAGGCCTAAACTAGTCAGAACTACAACACAAGAATTGGATGGTCAAAATCCGCCGCCGTGAAGATGTACGCAAATCTGAAGAAGATGAAACATTCCATCTCACCGGGGGCTCGCCTCACGAACTTCCTCAACTCTCCGTTCGCCAACGGGGCCCAAACCCACCGTTAAACCATTGCTGAGGTGGGTTTCGCGTCGGAGAATAGACGAAGGAGGCAAGGTAGGGCGGCGGCTTCGGTTTTCCAGTTCGGGTGCACATCAGATTGCACCCGTCTACTACCGTGTTGGTGCTTCGCCTCCGGATTAATTGTTGCCATTGGGCGTCACAAGGCAGCAAATATCCGTGTCAGGCCCTGCGGTGTCGAGGCTCGCGCGGTCGAATGCTATCTCCTGTAGTGCAGTTTCAACGATGGCTGCGCATGGAAGGGTCACCTGCGGCAACGCAGGGGGAGGACGGCAACGACTGTTACATTTTGTGCAATCCACTAATCTAGCCATCCAGTGGTTGTATGCTATTTAAAGTTGAAGACAATCCACTAATATAGTGATTGTATGCTATTTGAAGTTGAAGGCTTTGGACTGTCATGATTCTATGCTATTTGAAGTTGAAGGCTTTGGACTGTCATGATTCTTTGCGTGAGAATTTATCTCCCCCTCCTCCCAAATACTAAGGATAAGTATTATTATTATTATTATTATTATTATTATTATTATTATTATTATTATTATTATTATTATTATTATTGTTATTATTGTTATTATTGCTATTATTATTATTATTATTATTATTATTATTATTATTATTATTTAATTATTTGATTTGATGTGGCCAACCGCTAATTTATTCGAACAACAACATAATTTGGCAAGCTCGGTGCTGCCACTCACCTAATATGATATGGTACGTTCTGTGCTACCAATTGTATTGTAAGGCAAGCCCTGCGTTGCCACCTAAATTACAGGGTAAGCTCTGCGCTACCTCTTACAACTATCGTTTCAACGAATAAGTTTGGTATTAGTCACATTAAATTAAGGGAAGATAGAGATTTCCGAACCTATCTTCAATTTTAATTTCAAATTATTTAAATCAATACTAGTGGCACGACCCACTAATCATGTGTTATTTAGCATGCAGGGAACGATTTCCATGAACTCATGGGTGCTCCGTGCACCTAGCCGTGACTCATGGGTGCTCTGTGCACCTAACCATGACTCATGGGTGCTCTGCGCACCTAGCCGTAACTTTCATATGATCTCAACGCTCCGAGCGAGGAAGGTCACAACTTTGATGCCTCGTGCACAAACATGTAGTCCGGACTACATTGCTCGTTAAGATGCACTCCGAGTGTCATTTTTATTCGGTGAACATCCGTTTTTCTACTTTCTTATACCGAAAAATACTTGCGGTTAAGAAAGAGGGGGACTCATGATGGAATAATATAATATGCATGCCATATTATTATTATTATTATTATTATTATTATTATTATTATTAATTATTATTATTATTATTATTTTATAATAATAATAATAATAATAATAATAATAATAATAATAATAATAATAATATATTAGTCAAAGAGAAGATGTCATCATGGCAAGAAAATAGGAAAGGCTACGGGATGTTACAACTGCACAAATAGCATTATATAAAGGCTCCGGGCTACATACGAAGGGATTCACGCCGGTCTCAAATATTAAACTTCCCTTCTACATATACTCTTCTTTCTTCTTCCATATATTTCATGGCCAGGGCCTTACCTATGTACATGTACTACACCTACAACTTAGTGGATTTCGGCTTGGCTTAGCCCAAAAAGGCTCATGGTTTTCACCATATTGGTTTCCACGTTAAATATCGTGCGTCCTACCTATTTATTTATTAGCTTATGTATTGATTCCCTGCAATCATCTTTTCACCACTTTACATTATTCATATATTTCTCTAGGGAGATTATTGATCCGTATAAATACATACCCTGGGTCGTACCCTGTAATACATGCCTTAGGGGCGATACGGGGTCCGACCTCGCCTATCGTCGAACGGAAGGGTTCGGGGCGCGAGTCAAAGGACTCCAACCCCAGAACCACTAAAACGTCCTAAGGACGGTACAAGGTCCGGCCTCGCCTATCGCCGAACAGCCGTAACGCAACCTTAACGCCCTAGGGGCGATACGGGGTCCGACCTCGCCTATCGCCGAACTGAAGGGTTCGGGGCGCGAGTCAAAGGACTCCGACTCCAGAATCTCTAAAACGTCCTAAGGGCGGTACGAGGTCCAACCTCGCCTAACGCCGAACGGGCATAACACAATCTAGATACCCTTGGGGTGGTACGAGGTCCCACCTCGCCTATTGCCGAACGGGAGGAGCCGCCCAAGTGCGGTGACATGGAGTCATAGGGCTACCCTAAAGGGGGCACGAGATCCGACCTCATTCGCCACTCGACAAGGTCTTAGCCGACTTCCCAAGGAGGTCTTGGCCGATTTCTCGGGGAGGTCTCAGCCAACCTCTCGAGAAGGTGACGACCGACCTCTCGGGGAGGTCTCAGCCAACCTCTCGAGAAGGTGACGACTGACCTCTCGGGGAGGTCTCGACGGACCTCTCGAAGAGGTCTCGATTGACCTCTCGAGGAGGTCTCGGCCGACCTCTCGAGGAGGTGTCGGCCGACTTCTCTAGGAGGTCTCGGCCGACCTCTCGAGGAGGTCTCGGCCTACCTCTCGAGGAGGTCTCGGCTGACCTCTCGAAGAGGTCTCGGCCGACCTCTCGAGGAGGTCTCGGTCGACCTCTCGGGGAGGTCTCGACCGATTTCTCGGGGAGGTCTCGGCCAACCTCTCGAGGAGGTGACGACCGACCTCTCGGGGAGGTCTCGACGGACCTCTCGAAGAGATCTCGGTCGACCTCTCGAGGAGGTCTCGACCAACCTCTCGGGGAGGTCTCGGCCAACCTCTCGGTGAGGTCTCGGCCGACCTCTCGGTGAGGTCTCGGCCAACCTCTCGAGGAGGTGTCGGCCGACCTCTCGTGGAGGTCTCGGCCGACCTCTCGAAGAGGTCTCGGCCACCCTCTTAATGAACACCTTGGAGTCCTTGTAGCTCGACACGGTTGCCTTCAAAGCCTCCTCATGCGCCTGGCACTCCCGCGCACGGCTGGCAATCAACTCGACATACTTGCCCTCCAACGTAGCAGACTTGCTCCCCATGGCCATGTGCGCCGCCTCCAACTCTTTGCGACCACTCATCTCGTCCCCCAGCTGCGCCTGAAGGGTCCCCAACAAGCTCTCCATGGACGCCGCTTGGGCGATAGCTTGCACAACAGCAAGCATAGACAAAAGATAAAGCGTTAAAACACGACAGGGGTCCGTAATTATCAAGCGGCTTTGGTACTCTCTTGGGTTGACGACTTCTCGCAGCCCCGAGAGTGGGGGATTGATGATGGAATAATTACAGAGCGGACCTGGAGCGAAGAAATATGGAGCGGATCACACCCGACACCGAGTGGACTACGCACGCGGCCGGACAGACCATGGAGGGGTCTACCTCCCCGGGGTCCTCGACTACTACTACGGGGTCCTCGGTTACTGTGCACACGGAGTGACGAATCACCCCGGGGTTGGCCAACATGGGTTCGCCACCTCGGGGTCGGCCAACATGGGCTCGGCACCCCGGGGTCGGCCTACGTAGGGTCGGCCACCCTTTGGGGTCGGCCTACGTAAGGTCGGCCACCCTTTGGGGTCGGCCCGGCCGAGCTCCGGGCTCGGCTGGGACGGGGTCCCCGCGTTGTCCGAGTCGTGCGGCGGCAGTTGCGACTCCTCCCACGTACCCCGGGCCCACGCTTTGGACCCAGTCCTGAGCTAGGACGCGGTCAAAGCGCCAGATCCAACCATCCCCCGGTTTAGGGGGAGCGATTAGAGGTTTGTAGCATATAAAAACACCCCCCCGATGTCCTATTCAAGCATTTTCTACCTTTCCTACAATATTTGTATCGTTATTACACGTCCCGAACCTCTGTAATAGCATTGTTCACTCCATTAATACAATATTTATCACTTTATTATTCGTTCATCATATTCAATCTTATATACGGGTTGTATAATCCGGACCCCCGGGTTCATATAATCCATCAGCACTCATAAGTTGTTTGATATATTTTGGATATATTAGACTCGCCTCAAGCTTTTAAGCCCAAGAGACATTACGTGGATCCAAGGCAAAACATGTAAACTTAGGGGGGTGTATTTAATCATGACTTTCATAGAGTTTTAATGACTTTTATGAACTTTAAAAGTTTGGAGGTATTCAATTCAAACTTTTAGAGAGTCTTTAAAAGTTAGGCGGTATTCAATCAAGATTTTTAAAGAGTCTTTAAAAGTCGTGTGGTATTCGATTAAGACTTTTAAAGAGTCTTTAAAAGTCATGTAGTATTCAAAAAGTTATGTACTTTTGTAGGCTTTTTAATTTTAAGACTTTTGTAGACTTTTCCTTCTCAAATATAAATAGTTGAAATCCAACCATCAATCCCAAGATTTCAAAATTTTCTTTCTAACAACTTTGAGTGTTTTCTCTCTCTATTTAAACTTTATTTTTCTCCCTATTTGAACTTTATAAACCTATCTAATTAAATTCAATAAAATCATTTTTTTCTTCATTATCATGTATTTTCCTCATACCTAAACTCTACTATTTTTTCTCTCTCTCCTAAACTTTACAATCTTCATCTAAAAATTCGAAATAATAATAATTTTTACTTCATTATTGCTTGTTTATATTGAATTTTATTTTTTCTATGATTTTTTTTTATCTCTAACTTTCTCTAATTCTCCCTAAACACATGAACAAAGCAAATTTTTCATCGTCAAATTTTAGTATATGTTTCATAATATTCATACAAATACTTATATATTTTGATTTTTATTCTTTTTATGTTTATATTCGTAATATATATTTTTCCTTTTTTTTTTTAACAATAGGTTACTACGGATAGCGAACTACTGTTCGCAACAACAATTTGAGATTGCAAACAGTAGCACCTTGTTGTTCGCTGTCTCAAATTGCTATTGCAAATAATAGTACTTTGCGTGATGCCTAGCAATATATTAGATTTTTTTTTTTATTTTATGTAACTTGTAATTATATTTTTAAATATTTTATTTGATCAATTCTTTTATTATAAATTTTATTCTTCAATATTGTTATGAATTTCTAATGAAATAATTTTTTTTTTTTGTTGATGTTTATTAATATTATATATAAGTAATTAGGATTTTTTTTGAAGAATAAGTAATTAACATATAAGTCTCAGCATACTATGGATAAAAATAATAATGTTGAGAATGTTGATGTGGGTGAATAACTATATACTAAGAAGAATTTTATGATATTATAAATGTTTTTTTAAGAAAATTATAAATAATAATCATCAAAATCATTGAAAGTTTGTTAGAATGTATTCAATTTAGAATTTCAATGACTTTTGTAGAATTTTTAAAATAAAAAGTTGATAAAAGTCTATGAATGTTTTTTATATAGACTTTTATAGAGTCTTATAAAGTTTTAAAAAGTTTTGAACGACTCTATGAAAGTCAATCAAAGTTTATTAAAATCTATCATTTTAAAAGTTTTTAAAAATTTACAAAAATCATGATTGAATACACCCCCCTTAGGATCGATCTTAAGTTCGGCCTAGGTTCGTAAACTACATTGGGAGGTTAGATCAAGTAGGCATGGCTTCCTCTTTTTTGCCTACTCGAGATGCCTTAAAAACGAAACATGTTGAATGTGCTCTGGTTTGTCATCTGTGTAGGGGTGTGGAGGAAAGTGCATACCACCTTTTTGCAAAATGTCCGGAGATTGTAAATGTTTGGCATATGCTTGGACTGTCAGGGGCAAAAACGTCCTTTTACCTAATAATCGAGGGACCAAAATGAGTATTAACTCAATATAAATATTATAAAAACAGCGCTCGAGGACCAATAGTTATGCTGTGGAACGGGATTCACTATGCGCATGGTGAACACGGGATAGATCCATAATTTCTAAGCTATACATTCATAATTTCTATACTGTAGATTCATAATTTTTATACTGTAGATTCATAATTTCTATACTGTAGATTCATAATTTATGTACTGTAGATTCATAATATCTGTACTGCGAAGACGGAATAATACGATTGCGAAGAGAGAAACGTCGTTAACAACAAATGAAAAACAAAATTATAAATCTACAGCATAGAAATTATGGATCTGCCCCTATGTTCACAATGCGCATGGTGAACACATTTCCACAGCATAATTTGCGGTCGAGGATACATTAGTCTTTATATTAGTTTTATAGTGGTAAAAGTATTTAATGTAAATATTAAATTTTTTCCTGAAAATTTGAACATGAATTTGACAAAAAGAAAAAAGAAGAGTGCAATAAAGGATATAAATGGAAATTTTTTTTCTCCCTGAGTTATATACTTATAGCACTTTTTTTTCCTGAATTATTTAAGTGACTGTTTCCCTCCCCCTCCCCCCCCCCCCCCCTTAAATGTTAAATGGATATAATTATCCTTAAAATAAATATTTAAAATAAATATTTCATTTATTTTTCTTCTCCAACAAATTATGACCATAATTTGGTTCAAACCAAACAGACACTATAGCAATCAAACTGAAATATTCCAATTACAATTTAGAATCGAAACCCAATATTTAGAGTTTATTAAAATTGCGAACCAGAACGGTCGGTTCATGTTCCGAACTGAAAAAAATAAAATACATTTACTGTTGAATTTAGATTATTTTAAAATAAAGACGGTTCAAAATCACGAACAGGATCCGGAACCGCCGATTCACGGTTCATGATCTAGTTTTTTCGATTCATAATTTTAATAAACTGAAATCCAAATATTGGATTCTGGATCTGAATCATAACCAGAAACTTTTAATTCGATTGCTATAGTGTCCGGTTCAGTTAGAACCGAGCCGTGGTTATCCTTACGTATACGCAATAATTTGTTAGAGAAGAAAAATAAATAAAATATTTAATTTAAAGGTAAAAATGTCAATTTAATATATCAGGGATGAAAATTGTCACTTTTAAAATAATTGAAGGAATTAATATGCTTACATGAATAATTAAGGGAGAACAAATGTTATAAGTATATAACATAGAAGGAAAAAGTGTCATTTCCCCAATAAAAAATCACGAAATATTTAATAAAGGTGTGTTTACCGACAAACTGGGAAGGTCGGCAACTGTCGCCGGTGAGTCAAAGACAGAACTGTGTCATATATTCCCAATTTGCCCCGAAAAAGTGTTAAAAAAATTGTTCAGATTAACCAATTTAACTATCATCTATGAAGTTTAATTATTTATATTTGGAATAAGGTTCAAATTGGCCACTGAACGTAACCTGAAAATGCAATTAGGCCACTGAACGAAAAAAAAATGCAATTAGGTTATTGAACACTCCAAATGTATGCAATTTCACCTGATAGCAGGTTATCATCAATTTTAACATGTTACCTGCTTACGTGGCAGCTGAGTTGGCATTTTTAATAATTTTTAAATAATTTTTAATAAAGTTTAATAATAAATTTTTTAAAAAAAATTATTTAAATCGTGAAATTGCATACATTTGGAGTGTTCAGTGGCCTAATTGCACGTTTTTAGGTATTCAATGGTCTAATTGCATCTTTTTTTCGTTCAGTGGCCTAATTGCATTTTCAGGTTACGTTCAGTGGCCAATTTGAACCTTATTCCTTTATATTTTCTCCCATATTTAAATATTAATTTTGATATTCCCATTCATAGGGACAAAAAAGAACAAAAAAAAAAAAAAAAAAAAAAAAAACCTCCCCAGAGTTCTCTCTTTCATTAATTCTCTTCCATTCTCCTCCTCTCTTCTTCTATAACCCTGAATAATATCTCTCCTTCCCTCCATCCTTTTCTTCTTCATTGTTTTCTCCCTCTAAAAATCTTCTGATCTCACATCTCTCTCTATACACACACACATATATATATATACACACACGCACATATTGCCAATATATATATATATACATGTTATCAAATGTTAGCATAGATTGTAGTTTTGGTGTAATGTTCATGAAGCCTCCTTGGATGTCGTTCTGTTTTTCCTGGTAGGTTTTGAGCTGCAAAATCTTAAATTTCATTAGCTACGAATAATATAATCATTGCTTTTTGTTTTCGTTTTGTTTTGTTTTTTTTTTTTTTTTTGAATCTTCTACTATTTATGCTTTTGTTTTTTCTTCAATTGATTAGCAAATGCCTTTTTGTTTTTGGGTTTGTTTTCTAGTCTAACGGGTCTAGAATT